GAAAGTAGGTGCAGCCGGGCAAACCTGACAACCTTAGGCAGTGGGAAACAGTTGGTTTTAATCTTTTTTGACATTTTACAGACCAAATTATTAATAACAAAAACCAAGAGAATAATTATTATTGATAGTGAAAATAATAATTACTATTTTCAGCCCTACTACTGGCTCTAGGCAAAAGTAGACCCTAACACTACCAATAACAGTACCAGGAGCATGCACACACACACAGATACACAGATCTTGTCACACTTTCCCCTCTACAACAACAGCAGGTACTACAACTAACCTGAGGCAGAAGCTGAGACACGTTTCTGGGGCTCTCAGCACCATCTCGTGGTATTCATCAGTGGATGAAGTTGGCTTAGTTATCATGTGTCTTCGTTAGGCCACATGCTGACAGGTGATTATACAGACACAGCCATCTTAAATTGCTGGCTGCACAGCGGTGGAACCAATCCCGATCTGTGACAAGTCCACACACAGCCCCTGCTATTTACTGTGTATCCCTTGCCATGACACAGTGATCACAGTGCTGCCTTGTTAACTCCCCTAAGCACTGTGTGTGCGAGCCGCCCACTGTGTTGTATATATCCACTAGGTGGAGCAGTGTTTGTTGTAGTTCATATAAGAGATAATTTGATCCTTCTGTTGGTGCCCAGACCTGCTGATGGATGAGAACAGTAGGACGCCGGACTGAGCTGAGGCGCTGGGTTGGCAGTGGCTGCCTACATATTAATCAGTGTCCGTGTCTGTCACAGTAATAACTACTATTTCATTATGTTTATAAGGTCAGCCCTTATACGCCTTTTGAGACATCATGCCACTGGCAGTTATTGCATTATGTCTACATTTATTTAAACTCCTGGTTTTATGACTTTTGACCTTTTGATGTATTAATGTTTTGTGGCTTATTTTTTGGCATTAAACAGTGAAATTTATACAAATACTCTCAGTGGCTGATTTACTACCCCTGTGACACAGGGAACTGTGGCTGAAATTTAACGTCAGGAGAGAAGTAGGTGTCGAATAGATTGTTGAAGGGCTCTAATGACATCCTGTTATGCATGGATGATGGGAAAGCTGCCATTTTAGTCCTTTTAGATCTCTTAGCAGCTTTCGATACAATTCAGTTCAAATTCAGATTTTATTTGTATAGCACCAAATCACAACAAAAGTCATCTCAGCAAACCATAATATTTTTTTGTCTTGTCTTTATGATGGCATTTAAGGTACCGCTCTGAAATGGTTTGAGTCCTACTTGTCCAACAAGAGCTTTCCTGTATTTATTGATGACTTTTCCTCATCGGTTGCCCCTCTTACTTGTGGAGTCCCTCAGGTTTCTATACATGGCCCCATTTTATTTTCATTGTATTGCTACCTCTGGAGTCAGTTTTTATGAAACATGGATATCTGTTCCACTTTTAGACTGAACTCATCAGCTCCAGCCAGGATTTGGTCTGACATCTCAAAGTCAAAGTGTTTATTTGTCATATGCACAGTTAGGAAACGTGTTTCCCTGTACAATGAAATTCTTACTTTGCCGTCCACATGAATGCCACAAAATACAAATGAAATATAAAGTAGATAAATAAGTAACACAAAATCTAAGGCACTTTAAGCAGCAAATGCAGCAATATAATAAAAATATATAAGAATATAATAAGAGAATATATGCTGCATGGGAGCAGCATGTGGAGCAGTCAACAGTCATTGTGCAGTTATGCATGTGCAATCTGAGAATGTAAACAGTACATCATGTATTTCCTGGTAATAAATGCCTCAGCTGTTTAGGAGTCTGATGGCAGAGGGAAAGAAAGAGTCTTTCATTCTAGAGGTCCTGCATTTCACACTTCTGAACCTTTGGCCAGAGGGTAGGAAGGTGAACAGTCCGTGCTGG